GGCATGCCGGTAACTGGTCATTGATAACTGAATGGGGCAACACTACTTTATAGAATAGCACGCCAAATTATGGACTTATACTTCCTAACGACAGCAGTCGGACCACTTGTGCTAGAGGCCAGTTTACAGGATGACAGCTTCTTTTTTTTTTGAACAGGGGAGAATTTGTAGGGAAAAGGAGTAAGGTCTGAAATTTAAATTCAAGTTATTATGTCCACCACACCCATTCAATGAGGATGGCTTAGTGTTGGACGCAGTAATGACTGCTTTTATAATAGATGACACCTATAGATGATAATTGGTCCACATGAAAGTAGGTATGCCTCCCATTCCCATTCCCATTCACTTGTTAATGATAAGGAAGAAGATTTTTATGGAAATTTTTGGCGGGATAAAAAATACTCTCTATTCTCATACCGCAAAAAATGATAGATTCCATAGGTATATGATTTTTTATTAAATATTAATTATAGCTAGTGATTGATAACAACTTTTAAACTAGATGATACCTAGAGATGGTAACGGATTAGGTACGCCTCCCATCCCCATTCTCATTTCCATCCTGATCACCTATAGATGATAATTGGTCCACACAAAAGTGGGTACACCTCCCATTCCCATTCCCATTCACCTATTAATGATAAGGAAGAAGATTTTTATGGAAATTTTTGGCGGGGTCAAAAATACTCTTTGTTCTCATACCGCAAAGAATGATAGATTCCATAGGTATATGATTTCTTATTAAATATTAATTATAGCTAGTGATTGATGACAACTTTTAAACTAGATGATACCTAGAGATGGTAACGGATTAGGTACGCCTCCCATCCCCATTCCCATTTCCATCTCGATCACCTATAGATGATAATTGGTCCACACGAAAGTAGGTATGCCTCCCATTCCCATTCACCTGTTAATGATAAGGATGAAGATTTTTATGGAAATTTTCGACGAGGGGTCAAAAAATACTCTCTGTTCTCATAGTGTGAAGAATGATAGATTCCATAGGTATATGATTTCTTATTAAATATTAATTATAGTTAGTGATTGATGATAGCTTTTAAAATAGATGACACCTAGAGATGGTAACAGGTTAGGTACACCTCCCATCCCCATTCCCATTTCCACCCTGATCACCTGTTCACGCTCAGAATGAGGATTTTTGTGGAAATTTCTAACGGGATCAAAAAATACTCTCTGTTCTTGTAGCGAGGAAAATGATAGGTCTCATAGGTATATAATTTTTTATTAAATATTAAT